CTCCAAATCCTCCTCACAGGTAAAGATTGGCTGTCACAGAGGGTATTCAAAATGAAGTGCTGAGGGCCCCGCTTATGTTACCCAAAGGATTCTGAAACATTATTAAGTCTCGGCCTCTCAAGGTGACGGCTTTGCAGGCGGTGCTCGTTTGGATTTGTGAGCTCTGAGATGTCTGTTTAAAAGTCAGCTTCCCTACTTTATGGTCACGTCTGATGCTCTGACATCACGGGCAGTTGCTTTTCCTTCCCGTCTCTGCGAATGCGATCGATTGCATTTTGCTTGCACTGAAATCTATTAAAAATCTTTGAGCTGTATTCTGTTTCTGGAAACCAGGAACTGCTCCTAATCTGTTCTCTAAAAACATTAGTGAGCCGCTAAATTCCTTGAATATCTAAAAAAATCTTTTGTAACATCTCTTCCTTTTGAAATTTGTTCTGTAGCACTTACGTTGTTGCCTAATACAAAGGACATTTTAAGATGGCAGGATAATACGAGTGAGGGTGAGAACACCACGGCACAGGCTTCTGAATGAATTGAATTACAAGATGGAACTTTTAACTATTCACCTTTTAAACTGTCTACTGTTTCATTTCTCCCCCTCTGGAACTTAATGTCATACTTAGATATTCTTTTTATTCTTTCTTTAAATATTCTCAGAACATTCAAAGCAAAGTAATACCTTAGTGACTGATGAAAACATATTATTCTGATAGATGGCTACGATACCGTTCTAATAAAATGTGACGTGCAATTCAAACATCAACTTCCTGATGACAACTTTGAGTTCAGAATTTTTTGACTTTCCAGAAATCACTGTTTGAAACGTTTTCTCTGGGGTAGTCACTGTAACCTCGCATGCAGATTTGACATGTCATCGGTATTCCATAAAATACATTGGGGATCAAAATAAATCTATTGACGTGCTCCTGGGGCTTCCACAGTGCTAAAGATTGCCTTTCGTTCCACTGCTAGAAAACAGTTATTTCTTGCTATGTTCTTTACCCAGAAAAGTCTGTTATCTGACATCTAGCTTTTTATTTCTTCTTAAAAATAGTATTTTAAATATAATCTAAAGTATCTTAATGATTGAGAATCACCGCTATTAATGCAATTTATTTCAATGACATTTAGTTGAAAATCAAGAGACCTAGATCTTGGCTTGTTAAAAAATGGCTACTTAGGTGATCTCTGAAGCTCAGTTTCCCCATGGATGTTTCATTCATTCATTCATTCATTCATTCATTCATGGATTTACCTTTGACCTAATACCAGAAAGGATTTCAGGTGGCCTTCAAGGAAGTTTGAAACATAAGACATAGATGGGAAAAGAGGGAAGGAGAGGCCAAAGACATAAAATGGAGCCTGGGATGAGCTGAAAATGTCATGCCAGGATGCCAGCATGCTTGCTTGCATGAGGACGGGGAGTTTGAGTTTCCTAGGAACCAAAGCGGAAGGAGAAACCCAAGCAAGTCCATTACACAGCTGCTGTGCCTGAAGATACGAATGACTCAGTTGATCAGGAGGACTGGAACTGTTCTTGGCACTAGGATCAGACAGGGTTGTCTTGGTCTAAGGAGTACCCCACAGGGAGGACATGTGACACAATCAGCATCATCCTTACAAATGCCCATGCAACACAGAATTTCACAGAACTTGAAAAGAAACTCATAAGTGCGGGCTGCTGAAACCACACCGACACACAATTACATTTAGTCACCACAGTTGCGCAAGGGAGGATGCAGTTTGCCCGGGCTCCCTGACCCTCTGCCGGCCCAGCTTCCTCCAGGCAGTATTTGAATGTTCTCCTCTCCAGTCCTCCCACGGACCACCTTCACACAGGGGGCAGGTGATGTGACGTGGTGGCGAGCTCAGCCTCGCCCATCCCCAGGTGTAGCTGTTGCACACGGTCGGACACAGGCCTCGTCACCTGTGATCCAGGAAGGGTCTCTCCAGGCTTCGTGGTTCTCTCAGTGATGCTCACAGGCATTTGAGATGCACATCAGGCCTTTCTTCCTACCTTACGAAGGCCTGGGCCAATTCGAGGACTTAGGCTGAGTCTTACAAATTCTGTTTTCTGCTTCAGCAGCAACCGTCAGTTCTTCTCTTTCCTCTTGCTCTTTGCTGCTTTTACCCTCTGATTTCACTGGGCTTTTGAACTGCCTGGTCTGGACGAGCAGAGAGGCTTCTTCCAACTGCCTGTCAGTGGACGGGCCCGGCTCTCAGAGAGGGTGTGTCCCGTGGAGCCAATGGCTGGACTTGCCAATGTTTGCCATTATTCTGTGGCCCTTTGGCTTCTCTTTTCCCTTCTCTTTGCTTTCATTGTTTTCTGTTTTGATGGAATATATCCAGAGCTGCAGCTATAGTCTGGAAGTTTAAAATCACCACAAGGCCAGTCTCTGGAGAAGTGGAACCTTGCTAGATGTTTAAATAAATCCTTCCTGGGACTAAGCTTCTGACAAGCCAACCTCACCAGCGACACGGTGTGGTAGGTGGTTCAGACCTCAGACTCTGGAGCTGTCTGCTGCAGTTTCGCCCCTGACCGGCTGTGTGACCTTGGGCAAGTTACTTAACCTCTCTACGCCTGCTTCTCTGTCTATAAAATTTGGATAATAGTACTTCCTTTATTGGGTATTGTACTAATTAGGTGAGTTGATATTTACAACCTGCCCAACTTGGTGTATGGTGTAAGTGCTCTATCAATGATTGAGTAAGATTGAGACCGTTCTTCTACTCAGTTTCTTACCTCCCAGTGTTGAAATCATTAACTCTGGTCAATCCACTAGGGGGCCCGGTTTCTGGTATCATGTGGCACTGTTGCAGAATTACCAAGATTCAAACCATAAGGAGTTAGAATTTTCCCCAAACCCCCGTATCTTACCTTAGTCTTTACTTCCAGCCCAAATCCTGCCATAATTTCCACTCAGCATCATCTCTCAGACCAAAGGAGAATTTCTATTAAGCAAAGCAAACATTTATAAGTCTCTTTTACTTTATTTGGTTTTCTCTTTGTTATATTTGGGAAAATAACCTAAATTTTTGGTGTCAATACCATTTTATTCAAATTTCTGTTAGGCTAGAACAAACTTGGGTCTTATAAATGATGATTATCAACTGATTAGTTCACCAGTGTTAGAATAACGTTTGAAAAGAAAACAATAGTCAAGAGTCTGCTTAAATGTCTTACTTCTCTTAAGATGATTTTTCCCCCAACTACCCGAAAATCATTGGGAGTTCTGACATCAGGTAGCTTCAGCTCTAACTGAAATTCTGGGTCAGTGTCAGTAAAATTTTAGAAGTTTTAGGAGAGGAAGCAGGTTTCTGCATACATCATTAAGAAATGTCTAAAAGTATATCATTAAGAGTATCTTTTAAGTTTTTGAGATAGAGGGTTTAAATTTACTTGTTTCTTATTTCAAAATGACTGAAACGATAAACTGCTAAAGTCGATAAAGTAACCCCCAAATCCTTTTTTATCCTTTGCATTGGGAAACAACTAGAAACTTGAGCCGAATCTGAATGTCATGCCTAAACATCTGAATTCCTTGTTAAATAAACTAGCTAGTACCTCACATCTCAGTAGACAATGTTAGGGTGAATGTTTGACTCTTTGGAACCCTCTTTTTATCCTCCCATAAGGGACAGGGGTGTTGGTGTCATCACTGGAAGAATGAGGCACCCTAAAAGCCAACAGCTAAAACAGCTGGATGTTGCGCAGAAGGAGAAAAAGTTACATACGGCATCAGTGCTCCTCATACTTCGACTTTAGACACAACACCCGAGACCCAGGCCAAACGCAGATTCTCACTCAGAAGGTC